CTGAGGAAGTCTCTTGGATGAGAGACGAAACGTTTCTAGATTTTTTTTGCTTTGTTTTGTTTTTTGTTTTTTTGAATGTCCAGAGGACCAGATTGAACTTTTTTGGATTTTTATACCTGGATTATTGAGCATGCATCAGGATATTTATTTTGCTTACCTCATTTTGCCTGTAGAAAAGAACTTTATTAAGTGCATGCACACACAATATATTTTCTTTGGCCACATTTTCCTCAAAACAGCACAATACAACATTAGACATTTATTTCTGCTGTATAAGGTCAAAATCAGTTAATTTATTCAACTCAGCCTTGCAGCTCTGGAGATCTGTCTGGATAGAACAAGAAAACATTCACATTTCATGATTATTAACCCTGCCACTCATCCATACATTTTTTCATTCGTACCTTTATCCATCCACACATCTATTCATCCATACATTTATTATTAGCCTAATTAATCTTCTAAGAACAAATTTCCACCTTTGGCAAAAACCTCTCAGAGGGTCTGTGTTTACGTTCTGCCAGATCCTGGAAACGATTACATACTGTAACCCCAGATTCTATGAGTATAGGCGTAGCCCTTTAAGGCTGTCGCTGATGGGTTTATCCCGAAATGTGAAGCATTGCACTGAAAAATTTAGTCCACGCCAACCTACTGTGTGGGCCCCACCCAGTCCGTATAAATTACGTTAAGAGCGGGTAATCGGCTCCGAAATAGCTTTTTCTTCAGCCATTTAGGAGCCAGTGAGGCCCGACGCTTAAAGGGCTACGCCTATACTCATAGAATCTGGGGTTACAGTACGTAACCAACGTTCTATTTCGTATAGGCTTCGCCCTTTAAGGCTGTCGCTGATGGGTTAAGGGCGAAGCGGATGTTGTCCTCGCCTCACTGGGTCCATTCGAACACCGTATGAAGCAGAAGCTTGCCCAAACAACGTCTTGTCACTCAGTTCCCCATGTGCGTAATTGCGCATTGCGTAATTATGTGTGCCATGCATAGGTGCATGTTGTGTAACTATGCGTTCTGAATGCATGAACGCCCCAGAAAACTTCAACGGGGAAGGAAAAAAGCTGAAAAGAGCCATGAACCAACCGGTTTACGGCTGAACAGTATGAACAGATTAATAATAACAGGAGAGCTGATTATTAATCAAATGAACTGATTGGTAACAATAGGCATGAACTGATTAGTGACAATAGAACCAAAATAACAACCACAACTTGTGACTGATAACAACATCTCACACTGTAATGCATGCAGACAGATGTGAGTAAAACGGAGTTCCATGAAACAACAATATTCATTCTGTAAACACTAAGGACAGAATGTGTCATGGGACGAGCTGTCACATCAAGTAGATAAAAGCGAATGAATGTGTAGTGAACTAGGCCTCCGACCAAAACCTGCCTCTGAAGACCTTCATGGGACATGAACTGTTATTTCATTGATTTGAATCCAGAAATACAAATTAGCTCATCCAGAGACTGTCTAATTGTATCTTGAAGTAATCAATTGAAAGAACACTCTTCTTTTTATATGATCATTACTATTTTACAATATCTTGATAATCAAAGTGTGTTTAGTTCATATCATTTCTAATGTTGAAGTGAACCACTCATTTTAATTCAACTGTGAAACAGTATTAATGATTTTTTTTACCTCATTTAAATTAGAAATCAAGTTAAATGTCTATTTACAAAGTAATTATGCATTTTGATTTTCTGTCTAAAGGAGAAGCAGTGATGTCGTCAAAAGTCAGAGACAGTCAGAAAGAAGTTATTAGAACGGGCTGTATTGTTTTTAAACCTAGCAGACGGTAAAAAGAGAAACACTGGCATCTGCGTTCCTCTCACTTTGCCATAACATTTCTCTGTCTGTACTAAACGTTCCTAAACATTCCTGAATTCTCTGTTGACTTTTAATAACCGTCTGGCATCACTAGAACCACCCCCTGTTGGTTGTTTCAACCAATCAGGAAGTCCTAAGTGACCGGAAGTGAGAACTCTTTAAAAGTCCACACTTCCTGGAACTATTGGGTCTACTCGGTCTTCTGGAGTCTTAACCGTTTTCTCAAGTTCTTCGGAGTTCTTCTGAAGTCTTGGATCTGAGTTGAACTCAGTCTTTGATGGAGTCTTCTCAAGCCTTCAGGAGTTTTCCACTCCTGAGTGGGAT